CACTCTTTCAATGTTAGGCTGGTCAAACTCCCCAGCAAAGAGGGATAGCTTGAGGCTGGAGGCCAGGTATTAGGTGATCTGTGACAGCACTTCAATATTTTGGGGCCATGTAGCCTGTTCAGCCCAGCAGTGCCACACCGCAGCAAAAAATACCACTTAAGTACAGCTTTTTCTCCTTTTTATCTCAGCTGAGACCATTTCATTAAATAAAGAAAACCCAAGTATTCCATGTTGTCTCCCCCACCAATTTTCTCAACAGGACTTAGAGGCTGTTTCTACCAAATCGTGGAAAAAAATCACAAATTGTCTCATGCACACAGACACATACTGCCAAATCCAACATTAAAAACAAATCCATTTTTTTTCCCATTTTGCATGAGTTTAGCTCTGGTATCATGAGGACAGGTATCGGGAAACTGCAGAGAGACACTCTACTCCCCTAAAATAAAAATTCTTTTCTAGGCAACCTAAATACAACAGTACCAGCAGACTGCAGGCCTGCAGCGTGTGGGGGTCAGCTTTCATAGGAGTTTCTAAGGGGTCCTCAGTTCTCCTAATGGGGTCTGGGTCCAAACTTGGAGAAACAACACCTCCCAGCTAAAAACGTGCTAATGTTGTACAGAAAAAAAAAAAAAAAAACAACAACAAACCAAAAAAAAGTGGCATTCAGCATCCTAACTACCATGCCCTACCCGTCCTGTAGCATTAAGAGACAGGAGTAGTGGAATCACATAAACTGCTCGGAAGGTGAAGGACAAAGCAATGGCATTTGCAAGAATCTGAGATCAATACAGACCGAAACTTTTTTTGGTGGGGGGGGGGGGGGGGAACGGGACCAACGGGGATACAAAAGCCAAGTAAACAGCTCATTCGTCACACTGATTCTCACCTTCTGTCTGTTGTCATAGGCTGTAAGCACTTCCACATCAAATAAATACCATGGATTTTCTCCTTCACCCTTCCTCTCTCTCTCCCGAGGATCATAGCTCTTCAGGTACGCCTGGCGTGCCCACAGTGGTGATTATGGGAAGG